TATAGCAAGTATTTAATGCTAAAACGGCTTGCCATAATTATTTACATGCGTGTAGGTTAAGTACATGGGTCAAACAGCAGCTCCATTCACAGTCTGTAATTAACAGGAAGCGGATGCGTGTCAAACTCTCTGTCGAAGAGAGAGAAGCAGCTTGGAAAACGGCTTGCCATAAACGGCTCGCTTGCTCAACACACCTCAGCGTTTCAATATGCCATAATTCCAACCAATCAGAGAAGGCTGCTAAATTCTGATTGGCTGCCTTGACAACCAATCACAGCATTTCTTGCATTACCTCGACAGCAGAAGAGGAAAAATACAGTGCATGCGTAATTATTATGCTAAGTTGATATTCTGATTATATATTTTTCCAAGCACATTTTACCAATTCCAAACGACAATAATCTTAGCTACTATTAATCTTGTATTCAGTTCGAATTGTGGCAGAATTGTAATCCCATAGCGAAGCGGCTGTGTCGGATTGTGCAGCCGAGCTTTGTTGCTCTCCACCGACTGCGCTGATCAAAAGCATGATGGGAAACGACTGACTGACGACACAGACAACTGTGATGCTGCGTTCTCTTCTAAAATGTTTTTTTTTAATGTGATTATGCATGAATGTTCCCAAACACCATGACAGTGCGATCTCTGTGTAAGATGTGATTGTTGTCATATTTCTATAAAAATCTAAAATACATGTTTGTATTAAAATAAAAATGGATAATAAATACACCTTTCGTATGGAATTAAATAGCAAGCACTTTAAGTGTCTTGTTCATCATATTTATATTCATATAAAAGCAACAGAACTGAAATCATCATGTTTATTAGCAACACAGCATGTGAGTGAGAATAACGCGATATCTGCCTTTGATCTCGTAGGTATCTGTTCCACTTCGAGAGGGCAGAACTGTTGAGAAGGGTCTGGCTGCAGACTTGCGATTGACTCTCAGACGTGCATTCTCAGACTTGCACTCTCAGACTTGCACTCTCAGACACTTGCGCTTCCGCTAGCGAAGTCACTTGCAGTCTTTTTTATTTTTTTATTTTGTTCTATTTATTGATTACTTTTTTAGTCCATTATGCCATATTATGCCACGTTTTTGTGGTGTGGGAGGAACATACTATATACATATTCATTATATTAATAAACTGTATATTGAATTTGATATTTTAATAGCATCTTAATACATTAAGCCATGTTTATGTTTTTCTACAGGAGGAAAACGCTTAACGAGAGACTTTGTGCATTGCGTTCATATTCTGCTGTTCTGTGGCCACGGATTTGCGGGTCTTGTCTTTTTCTCCTACAGATGGCTTGCAGGACCCTGTACGTTACAGTGCAAAATTAGTTTTAATCGTTTAATGACCACCACTGCGTCTTGTCTCCATTGGCAACACGCACGATTTGTGTCGATTGCAAGTGACGTCGTAATTTAGTTTCTTTTGTCTTGTCTTCACCACCTGGCTACTGTTGTAAAATCTTGAGCATTCAAACAAAAAGAATAAATAAATCGAAAAAAATAAAAATAAATAAAGACTGCAAGTGACGTCGCTAGCGGAAGTGCAAGTGTCTGAGAGTGCAAGTCTGAGAGTGCAGCCAGACCCTTTTGGAACTGTCCGTCTGACTGCGCTTATTTCACTCCTCCCCTCACTGCAGCCGCCTACTCTCGCCTACAGTTCAGGCGAGGCGAGGCACATCTCAAACAAGCCTATTCTTAACCACTCCTATCCAACCGTGAATCTGTTATGAGCAAGAGGGGGAGTGGAGGTGCACCACAATAAAACCCCACCCTTTATTCAATATTCCGTTTCACTTGGAAATACATCACAACACTGAAGTCAGTTGCAACTTCCGGTTCACGGGTACTTTGATACTGATATTTTTCAAGGTATTGAAGTTAGAAATTCCTGTATCATGACCTCTAATTCGCATACTTTGTCAATAAGATAAAAGTGGGTTTTGTTCAAAGTAGCTATTATCCACATAGATCTTTGATATGAATGAATATTTTGGGTAATTCATTAAATATCGCAGACATGCATAAAACCTTCATATTCATGACATGTGTCATGTCATGATTATGAAGGTGTCATGTCAGTCTTATGCACACCCCTTCAAGTAAAGTGTTACCGTAACTAGTAACCTAGTACTCGGAGTACTTTGTACTTTTACATGTTTTGACACCAGTACTTTTATTTGTAATTGAGTATTATTTCAGCAATGTAACAGTACTTGCACTTGAGTACAAATTTTCAGTACTCTTTCCACCACTGCTTGTAATATAAATCCTCTTGTCACTCTATATCTCCAAATAATGTCTTAGATGTATTTAAATGTATAAAATTTTATGATCAAAGCTCTGTAGTGTTATTGTGGGGCAGGAAATGTTCTTCTTTAGCAACATTTTGATAATGTTCATAATTTAGAGGTTTTAGAATGTGTGTGTGTGTGTGTGTATGTGTGTGTGTGTGTGTCTGTGTGTGTGTCTGTGTGTCCGTGTCTGGCTTATACAGGCAAATATGATCCGGGCTTTATAGAGTTAAATAATACCTTAATGTTAGTCTACTGCAAAAAAGCCCTCTGTGAGGTTTAGGGTTAGCGGACGGACAGAAAATATTATTAGTTTGGTATGAATCAATGCAAGTCAACAAAGTGCCCTCATCTTGATAAACAAGAAAAACAAACAAGCAAATATGTTGGTATGCATGGGCGTTTGGATGTAGATAAGTGATTATTTTGAGTGACATCTTTGACACAATGTAGAAATTTTTGTCCCTTTACTGTAAATTTTAATCTGTCATTGCATTATAAAGGTCAGGGAATACAGTCTCTGTCTCACCCCCTCCACCTTTCACTTCAAAGGCAGAACCTATCTGCAGGGGGAAACCCACTTCCTCATTTGAGCTCTGCTGACCATGCTCTCTTTTTCTCAAGAAATGACACTTTTCAATGCAGTGTCACTACGTGGAAATAGTTATGCATGTGTGATTGCGATGCTTCTTGTGAAGTGTGGTGATTTCAACTTTATTGAAGCTCAGCAGCAACTGCAGCCACTCCAGTGAAGCATTGTGTCTCACATAATCTGGTCTCCACACAGTCTCAAGCTACTTACATGTTAGTATATGTGGAAAAAAAAATTAAATATACTGATTTCTTTCAATCAGTAAATAAGCCTATTTTGATTCATAATTTCTGATTCGTTGTGTCATGGAAATGGTTGTGCATTGCCTCTTAAAATAATTTAAATATAAAACTTTTTTACTCAGAAACCCCAGAACACCTTTATGTTTTCCGTACTGAAAGTCATTGCGTAAATCATTTCCTGACCTTTACTGCACACTAAATTTTCAGTCCCCTAAAAGAGTTTGAACTTACCCACTTAATGGCATAAGCCTAGTTATCTTCATCATCGATCAAATTTTGCATTTTTATTTTACAGTATGCTTGATACTGTTGGCTTTATAAATGTGGTCTCAACACTTCCACCACACGTGTAATGCTTTTCTAAGTGATGAATCACACATTACTCATCTTTTTTTACTACATTTATTTATTTTATAATTTCCCCCAAGTACTGTAAATACAGAGGTCAGTTTTCATCTTAGGTGATACTATCATTATCACAATCAGACTCGCTGGTCTTTCCAGAATGACTAAGAAACTTCTGAAGAACTGTTTATTGATTGAAACAGACAAAGGTTTTTTTTACCTTTGTTATCTGAAAGCACAACCTTAGATTATAAATTCTGATAAAATAGTCATCAAATAAAAACAAAATTGACAGCATATTGGCTTTACATATTTATTCGATGTATCAACGCATGAAAGGCTGCTAATATGCTGATTTTAGCAAATACAAATAATAAGCTAATATGTGCAATATTTTTCATTTTTGGACAAGAATATGCAGACTGGAGCTTTCATACAAATGTACAGACAACTAAATTGCTTTGGTGTCACAACATGTTATTGAGTCAATTTGTATTAATTAAAAACATTAGGTTTATCTGGAGGATCGATTAAATTTTTTGTCTGAGTGCACATTTCATTGTCTTGCATTGCAACTACTCAACAAAAACACATTCCATGGGAATAAAACCCTGAGATTATTTTCCGTATCATCTGAATACACTTCCTGTGAGGAAAAAAAAGTAGTGTGCTTTTTGGCAACTCTTATTTTTACAATGATTGTATTATCAGGGGATCTCAGGTAAAGCTATTTAAAGACATGGCACTCACATGGGGATTGCAAATATACATTAATAATAATTTTATCAAAAACATTAAACTGAAAATATTTACTGAAATGAGTTACTAAAGGGCACAGACAGGCTAATGTCAGTGGTCAAATATTCAAATTCAATAGGCTCACACATATTATGAATAATATTCCACAAAAAACAACAACAACAAATGTAGGTCAGAACGCATATAGTTTCCGATAACACAGGCCTGCCTTTGTAGTTCACTGGAGATACATATGTTGTTAACATACATAGCACTGCAATGGTCAAAAATCAGAAAATAAAAACATTAAGCAATGATAATATAGTATAATATTAATCATTTTCATGAATATTTCTGCATATTTCAAAGCACAGATTTACTCTCATTAGGGCCTGCCCCTTATGTGATCATATATGGAATACATAATCAATACACCTAGCACAGCTACAGTGATCTGCAATTATATATATGACAAAATATTAGTCTGTATTATAGGGATGCACAGTCAATATTAAGATTTGTAATTGTTCATGCACATTTTTTTTTATTTTTTTGCATTTCGATTACCTTTAGCATTCTCTATAGCTTGCTTAAAGTTTATTTATAAAAACACGAATCATTTTAAATCACTATTGAATGTGGCTTTTAGCAAGTCTCAAAATGAATAGGCATTTTCATACTGTATATTATAATGTCGTGATGCCTAAATAAAAGTTTTTTTTTAACAAAATAGTGTTTGATTGTAAAATCAGCCATTTATTTTTATCATCTATAACAGAAAAATAATTATAGGCTTTTCTATATTGGCCAGATTTCAATACTGGTGCATCCCTAGTATGTATTTCATATACATATGATATATTCATGCTCTCAAAACACAGACAAGGAACTGCATTAACAAAACCACACCTCACAAACTGTTCATGAAACAATAAAAACCACAAGTCTATCTTCTCTTCAAGAAGTCCATCTCTAATTGGACAGCTCATGTCCAATCAGTGTAGACTGTCCTCATTTAGGACACCATACAGTATATTCTGAATCATCTTGTGGATTAATTCAGCTCCACGGAAATGATCTATCTATGCAATTCTGATACAAGCACCCCACTGGTCCTCAGCAAAAATCCACCTTAATTAGCCATATTCACTAGATGGTGGCCCTCTAACCAGATTGTAGTAGCCAGCCAAGGCACCCAGATCTACATAGAGGGATCCTTTTTTCTTCGAGTGCCCAGAATCCTCAGTGTACAAGGAAGAATCTGAAAATAGAAGAGTAAAGGGTTTCAAGCATGCAATTAAGTGAATTTGACATGGTGTGTGTGTGTTGTATGACGTACCTTGGGTGCTGTCTGAAAGCTGACTGTGCTGTCGCAGCAGTGGATGTGTGCCTTCCTCCAGTGCAGAATCCAGACTCCAACAGCGCGGCTGGTCTTCCCGAGAAGGATGGAGGGCCTCCTCGTTTAGTAATTCTGTGGCAGAGCTCCTCCGTGCAGGGACCCTTTCGAGTGCATGCTCCAGGAGCCTCCGCATCGCGGGGCTACAGCTTTCAGGTATGTCCTCCAGAGGAGGAGCCTGTTTGTGGATCTGCAAACAGAGATTATGAAAATCAATGGTGGCACAGGGGCATTCACAAGCAGCCACATGCAAAGAGACACATGAATTTACATTCATTTACATGAAAAGGAACTGTAGTGTGTGAAAAGGGAACTGAAACCAGTTGGGCTGCAGTACAAATGTTGAACACAAAAATCATTTTGTATAGAGCCAGCTGTCTGTTTCCATTACATGGGCAACTCTTAAAATTAAACATGCAAACTAATCTGCAACACAGGGGAAGCTTAAACTGCTGATATTAGTTTTTTTGTTTTGATTTAGATCTTGTGATCCTTTGCTTTATAGTGTCTAAAACAAACAACAACAAAAAATTTGATATAAAAATATGTTTAGCGAATGATTACAAAATTAGCATCCTTTGCAATATATAGCGGTTTAAAGAGAAAAAAAGAAAAGGAAAAATAATAAAGAGAAACATTTAAAGAACTAATAAAGAAAAAAAGACTATAAAAAATATTATACAAAATTGTTATTATTATTACTACAATTATACAGAATTAGCATCCTTTTCTTTACAGAAGTTTAAATGGAAAAAGAAAACCTAAAATTTCAAAAGGCTATAAATAATATTATAAGCGATTATTAATAATTATTAAAATGGTACAGAAGTACCATAATTTTCAGTGGTTTAAATTAAACAAATAAATAAAAAACTAAATGAGCAAAAGCTAAAAAATGTTTTTAATTAAATAAATAAATTATACAGACTTATTATAATTGTTATTATTAAAATTATACAGAATCAGCATGAGACATGCTGTGCTAATAGAGGCCCTTATGTCATGAAGTTATGACATCAGCCTGCATGGCATTTATGTGTTTTGCTCTGTGGTTAATGTATATAGTCAGTTTCAGGTTTTGCCACATTCAGGGACTCCCCCTATACTGTTGCTGTAAATTACATACAAACAAAATACAATTAAAAGAGCAAGCAGTTCAATGCATTTTGATCATATCATATAAGCACACTCACTATGTAAAGGTATGAGGGGTAGGCTGTTCTGGGATATCTCCTAACCCATGGAGGGCTTCCACTCAGCATGTGTATGATTGTGGTTCCCAGACTGTAGATGTCAGTCTTGGTGTTGTGTCCGCGACATAAAACCAACTCTGGACTCATATACATCTGTACAGAAAAAAAACAATAAGCTCAGAATTCACATATGAAGAGGCTTTCAACAGAATTTGCAGCAACTTGTTTTTATTCAGTTTTGTGCAATGAATACTGGACTGGATTGGCTGCTTTCTACTGTTCAGTCACTCTGAATAATATAAATATGAAAAACAACTTCTGATGTAATAGGCAAATATGAAAAACAACTTCTGATGTAATAGGCAAATGATCTAGTGCACATCTGGTGAGCTGCTCACTAGGGTTGTGCCGATAGACGATAGTATCGTGTATCGACGATAGCAGATGTCTAAAACGATATTAGGCTCATTCTCCTATTAATGTATTATTATTATTATTATCATTAGGTGGCCCATTATAATTCGGCTATTATTATCAAATTGCCCCGCTTTTTCATTCAGCACTGTACTGAATGTACAACACTGTACACACACACACACACACACGTAGCCTGCAGCCGGTGAAGGAGTCTCCAACCACAAACACAGACACATATCGTCTGCTGATATAAGGTATTTCATTGCACTTTAACAAGTAATCTAAACGGCCTATATATGTGCACTATTTTTACCGAGCCCTCACTAATTGAGTTTAATGCCACAGTTACGTTAGAACCATAGGTTAGAACGCATCTCATTCTTGTTTCTGTGGTGGTGTGCCGGGCTCATCATGGGCCGCGCGGTCCGGAGCGCTGTATGACTGATGTAGGCTATCTGTTTCATTTAAATTTACTCCAAATATATTAACTTACTTGTTTTAAATACTTTATATTTAACGTGTTCGTTTATGTCCAATATTTAGGGTTAAACTGTTAAACTGTCCTTAAAATAAATCTACTTTTGATTTTCACCATTGACTGATTTTGCAGACCAGTCGTTGCGACAAACTTGTCACAGGACGTGCGGTGCTAGCGATGTATGACTGTTGTGTCTGAATATATATGAACTAGCTGTCTTAAATATTTTTGTATTTAACATGTTAGTTTATCAGTATGTTTGAAAGTATATTATTTAGATTCGTGGTGCTTCCATAGGCTCCCTCTCTCTTGCGGTTTAAAACACCAAATTGTACAGAGAGTCTCTCTCTTGAACCCACCCACCCATGCAAGATAATATCGTCCATTGGCGATCTCACGGACTGGCGATATGATGATTTGAAAAATGACCGTATCGCCCAACACTACTGCTTACTGTACTGCCATACAGTAAACAACTTTATTTTTCTTTGTGGGGAATCTTCAGTGCTGGTCAACAAGGCATGCTGGACTTTCCAAGTGGGGCAAAAGGTCAACACTGAGGCAGCTAATGTGCATGTGTCCTTTTGGGCCTTTCCCAGAGTTTGCTAGGGAACAGAATGTCAGCTGGGGGGGATGTGCGCGCACGTGCCTTCTGGCTTTTCAGATCTCCTTTCAGAATCACCATTTAAATATTTTAACAAATGTACATAAGACAATGCATATTTATGACTTTCTAAAGCACATCTGCCATCAGCACAAACAGGAACTGACAAATTCCGCATTGTATCTCAATATAGACTAAATAAATTTTTAGTCACAACACAGCGGCTGACCAAATATGGAAAAATGTAAGCGTGCAAAGTGACCTCAAACATACTCACCTCAGTGCCACGTAAGTCCCGAGGAACATATACATCATCCTTCATCTGTACTGTAAGCCCAAAGTCCACCAGCACGGCTTTTGCGGACATCAGCACAATATTACTGGCTGCAAGGACAAAAATGAAATTTAGGTAAGCTAAAAAAAAAAAACGACAACATTCAGAGGTGTGTAGTAATATTTGAGAAGTTACAGTAACTTCTGCAAAATATAGGTGGTTCAGTTCTTGTTTGTGCTCCATAGCGAGACTAATGCAGCGAGGTGTTGTTTTCCGGAAGTGGAGTAAGGTCATTACTCATGGGGTGGCTTGAATAGTTGATGAACAGATCATCAGAAGTCTCAAAACCCCCTTTTCTTGCTTTCCCTCCATATTTCACACTGCTTGAAATAACATGTTTCCTCTCCAAGCCAAATGTAAAAAAGCCAGTCCTCAAAACCACAAAGCAGACTACTATGATTGGTCACTCATTTCACGTTACTCTCTCAGTCTTACTGAAATTTGAAAACACTAGATGGGTTGCCTGTTGAATAAGCCCTTGAAAGTAATACATTTGTGTAATCACGTCTGTCTCTTCCTGCTCTCGCTCTCCTGACTGGAAATTCCAGCCGCTTGAGAAGTCATGAGCTGCAGCGCTGATTGGCTCCTGCGTATGACTAAACGGCAGCAGAATGTTGTTGGCCACAACCCTACCATATTAAATTATGTTGTGTTCCTCATCTTTGTTGGGCATAAACTAAAAACACTTCTCTAGCCTGTGGCCGATTCTCTGTCAATCATTTAACATCGCTGCTTCCTCTTGATGGCCTCATTTTAAGTTCCGTCAAATAAGCGAAATACCTTCCTTGACCACACAGTTATTATCTGATTTACCTACAGAGCACCTCTGTTGCATTTAGGGGGGAAATAACAGTGGTTTGGTGTGTCTGTGGTTTGCAAAGAAAAAAGCACTGAACTGCTTTTGACCCTTCTTTTGAAATGTGTTTTGAACATTCAGTTCAGAGCAGCTGAGGTAAAGTGGTCATAAACAATCAGTTTGGCAGGAAATTGCAGAGATATTTCAGGAAAAAAAATCCTTTATGATGCAATCCAAAGCTCTTACGTTTGATGTCGTGGTGTATGATCTTGTGAGAGTGCAAGTACTCCAGGCCTCGCAGAACCTGCTGAGAGACCCAAATGATCTCGAACTCTCTCATTGGACCACAGCTATCCAGCTTCTCCAGAACTGAGCCCCCTTCACCGGCTTCCATGAACAAATGCACCGTCTGCTCCCACATCAATGCCCCATACAGCTCTGCTATGTTCTCGTGACGGAACCGGGCTTGGATTTCCACGTCTGCAGGCTTGAAATGTTCCACAGGAATCTGGAGAGAAAGTACACCCAACTTATAAATTTCATTTAGGACATTTTGGAAGTGCACCAAAAATGAGCTTGCTCATTATACTTATATGCATAGATGCTATTTAAGCATTCATATATGCAAATAATTTGAAAAGAAAGACTAAATGCAGATGGCTTAGAGAAGGTAGAACCAACACTGTAAAATATGTACATTCTGCCTATCTATGATCTGCACATTTCCCCATATACTTTCACAATATTAATTACTAGAATCACACTGCCACACTGATTTCCAAAGTACTGAATTATTAGTAGTTAAGAATTTATATATACACCAGGCTTATTATATATTTTCTGTTTTGGTTGTTTATTATATTCATGCCCACTTGAACGATTAACAGTATTTCCAAAATCTACCAACATCTCTGTCAATGGATAATGCATATTTTTTTAGCAAATTTTACATTTATATTTATAATTATATACAGTAGGCTCATAAAGATGATTGACAGGACTTAATGATTTGGCTCCTCCCTAACCTACGTTTGGAACTTCATCATGCGTCTCCAAGAAACACACATGGACCGGCGTTTCTGAATGAATCCCTGCTTTTGAAAGAAACCATTACATGAATTATGTAATGACTCACTTATTAAGACAGTTGCTTGTTAACCTCCCAAATGAATTTGTGTTTTTTAACAAATCGGTTAATTTGATGATTCAATGACTCACAAAGTCACCAAGTAATGCTGTATCAAACTACAGTTATATTACTCGATTATACTGGACATTGACCACCTTTATCACTAAGTATTTGATCAAAACGTTAGGCCACAATGACATGGTAAATATTTTTGTACAAGTCAGCAACAACCTGTTAAATTGACCACAAGTCTGAAATGTCTTCTCCCTCTAGACATCTGCACTCTGCCACACAGTTGAGACACTGTCTCTGTGGGCTGCATGTTTCCACGGGGGCGTTCCTGTCAGCTTCCTGTGTGCGTTAGAGCCATTCTCAGTTTCTGTTCAAACACTGCATGCTGCACGCTGACCCTCTAAACATTTTAAGGGAATTGGGTTATTTCCCAAAAGCGCTCTTCCTCATTTCAAAATATTCTCTTATTGCTGCTACAGTTTCTACAAGAAGCGTTTCTCTTTTTTCAGAGTCTTTATTTTTCCACTGTACATAAAGCCTTGTGGCCTCACATGCTGGTGCATAAGATCATCACAAGAATAAATCATGCAGTATCACATGTCTTCTGTCTTGTATTTTCATGTGAAAAGTATATGTTTGTGACTGACTGACAATGACTGACTTCATGTTTAAAATCCTTCTTTTTCTGCTTATTAAATTGTTTTCAACATAGTACTTTGAACAAGCTGTGTTTTCGCTTCAGAACACAGATTCCCAGAAGGGAAGTCAGTGTCCATTATAACCTCCTAGTGGAGTGAAAACAACTACCTTCGCCAAAAAAGAAAAAAGTCGAGATTCCTGAAAAATAACATTCTCTGGATTCCCGGACTTACTAGTTTGCATGCCATTCTCTTCCGAGTTTTGGTGTCCTGAGCCAGATGGACCTTCCCAAATGAGCCTTTGGGAACGTGTCCAGGGCCTTGGGGCTTGTAGGTTAGTTTCCAAGGAAACAGAAGGACGTCCAAGTCAATGCGATAATGCCCCTCCTTAATGACCATGTCTGTCTGCAGGAACAAATCAGGGTGTTCATGAGAGTAAGGCTATGACAACTTGCAACCTTTACTTATCATATGAGTTGCTTTGATTGAGCCAACAATCTCACAGTTTAAACAATTAATTCACTTACATAATGCTTTAATACTGAACTGTACATTGCAACTGTTACTGTATATGTTATGCATCTGTTATGTCATCAAAATAACCCCCTATAGAACTTACCTTGTTTAGCAGGACCCCCATTTCTTCACCCACCTCCAATAGAGAGGAGGACGGGGTGTTTGAAACCGTATTTACAAAGTCCAGGAGGTCGGATGCAGTCCCGTAACGGACCTTTCCAGGATTTTGCACATGTGAGATTAAATCCTGTGGCGTCTCCACAATCTCATCCATGTCTTCTTGCGAGAAACTTTCTTCAAATGAAACTCCTGCTTCCACCTCCTCGCCAACACAGTAGAAATTCTCTGCCTCTTGGATGAAGTCTTCAATGTTCATGTGAGCGAGAAACAGTTCTATACCAGCATTTTCATTCTCGTACTCCATCCTTGATTGAATCCTACAACAGAATGTTTGATCATTAGAAACAGAACATTAACTAAAGTAATTTAGTGCATGCATACATTTGCTTTGCACGCATATGTATGTTCACGGTGTGGTCAGGCATGTTTCCTGATGTGCTTGCTTGCTCTATTTTGCCTGCAAATGAGGGGTGGTTTTCAGGGGTGGGAAACCCCAAGATGGGCTTTCTTCTTCAAAACAAATGGCAGCTAAAACTTTTACATTGAAACTTGAAGATATTTTCAAGGTCCTAAAGTATAAACTCACTGTCTGTTTTGACAGACCCCCAATTTAAATACACACACA